TGATCATTCAACCAATAAGGTTTTTTTTCCCACTCAATGAGTTTTTTTCTTTTCTTTTGATGGTTGTTATAGTAATTTTTAAGTTATTAATTAGTTTCTTGATTTTTTTTTTATAGAAAAGTAAGTAAAATACTTTTGTTTATATAATTGATTTACAAAATCAATTAAAATTTTACCAGGTCAAGTCATGTAAAAACAGAGAGAGAGAGAAATAGTTGTACATGTACTTATATTTTATGGATTGTGATCATTTTATCCCTACATATTTAATTACATCAAATCTATTTTTATATGTTTAATTGCATCCAATGTATCATTCCAAAATTGTTTCATCTCTGGTCTATCAATCAAAAATATATATATGAGAGACTTTGATAGTGTGTCGTCGTGATTTTTGTTTCTGGAACTTAAGGTGAAGAACACACAAATCGTTTTCTCTAACAGGGATTCCATCCCCTCTTGCCCTCTCCTTTCCTTAGCAAGTTCAATTGGCGGAAAAAAAAAAAAAAAGGACTCTTTCCTTTATTTCCTTTCTTTAAAAAAAAAAGGTGTTTGCTCCTTATTGGTTGGGAGGGCCGACACTAATCATTGCTTTAACTAGCTTGTGTGTAAATGCCGATGAGGTTTCGGTTGGCTTAATGTGAAAGTTTAATTATTTTATTTTTTCAACTTCAACTTAGTGCCCCGATTAATAATTAAATAGGGACCCAAGAGAAAGTTATTCGTGCAATCCCGAGTCCGAAAAGATTGCTTTGAGATATGATGAATTGATTTTAAAATAACTTGGTAAGAAAGATGATTTTAAATTGACTTGGATAAAATAGGGTATCTGCACCTACTAAAAAAATCCCATGAATTTTTTTTTAAAAAAAAACTTCTCACGTGAACGTACGCATGTATCAAATTGCGTATTAGAGCTCCGCTTATCGACCCCTAGTTATAATTTGATAATTAAAGTGAGAGAAGAAGATTTCTCTGAGATTTAATACTCAATGTTAATACGTGCGCACGTGTACGAGCACGTTCAAGCGAAAAAAATTTTGACATTTTTTTAGCATTTTCTTTTTGTTAATTAAACATATTTTATATATAAAAAATCTGAAATTGATCATGTGCAGATCATATAATATAATTCATCAGTTTGGACGCAGAAAAAATGATAGAAAAATTGATTAGAGGCATATTAACTTTTAAAGAATATATTAGATTTAATTAAACATATAAAAAATGATTGAACACAACTTTTAAAACATAAGGACATATAGAACTATTTCTTTAAAAAAAAAAAAAAAGTTTCTTTCATCCATTAGTACTCGTGTATAGACACATGCTAGTATAAAGAAGTAATGTACAATGCATAGAAAACTGTATACGTGAGGCTAACACATTGTCTGGAGTTTTCTTTCTTAACCGGGCGAACAAAAAGTTGGAACAATTAAGCAGCATATCCGGATCCTATTTTTGAGTAGAAAATATTAGTTTTTTTTACCTATGCTATGCTGCAGGTTGGATAAAATATATAAAATTATTTATAAAAATTATTTTAGTTTAATAATCTGTTTTACGATGTGAATCTATAAAAAATATATGAAATCAAAGGTGAAAAAATTAATTATAATTTTTTAATAAAAAATTTTGTATTTAACTATTTCTTATTTGTTTTTTTCATAATTTTTTCTTTAGAAAAAGATTTATCTTTATTAATCTATGGATTATTAACTAAAAAGAAAATTAAATAGTTTTTTTTAAAAAAACATTTAGTATTTTATAAGATTGTGTCCAAAAACATAAATAACAATTATTAAAAGCTTACATAGAATTGAACAAATTATTTTTTTATTTAATGTTGATGAGAATATCGATTTTTGAAAAAATATGAATTTAATTTTTATATATCTATTTACAAAAGAATAAATAATATTAAAATAAAAAATATATATTAATTTGAATCATTGAGTGGTTAAGCCAAAACATAATTTTAATTATTTAGTTTAAAATAAGTTAATTTTAAAATATTCACAAATAAATAAATAAATAGTAAATACTTAGTGTAGTTGTAATTGCACGGTTAATTTCTGAAGAAACAACGATTCAATATTTTTTTATACACCATAACTATACTAAGTGAGTTCGAGTTTTCATTCTAAAACAAAAAATACTATAAAAAAAATTAACTTGCGAGGAATCTATTGACTAAGTTTGAAGTTAGTAGACTAAAATAAAAATTATTATAAATTTGACTTCAATTAATTTTGATTATATAAAGAAGAAACAAATAAATAAAACGTGTGAATTCTTTTTTTCCTCCTTCTTAAATATATATATTTTTTATTTCTATGCTATGCATGGCTAGTCCTTGAATACGAGCCTCAAGCACGGAGCAACCATCTGTTTTTTATTTTTCACATTTTACTTTAAACTATTAATTAATTAATTTGAGTTTTTTACTAAAAAAAAAACCAAAAAAAATTATTTAAAATACACTTTTAATCTAAAAATGTATTTTAGACAAATTATATATTAATCATGCCATTATAATTTAAAAGTTATCTAAATCTATTCTTCAAAGAAAAAGTAATCATGTTCTAAAAATTTGTTCCAAAATTCATACATATAGAAAAATAAATCAAAACTATCAACAAATATAATTTTAAATTAATTGGATGAGAATTTAAAAAAAATGACAAATTAAAGTAGTAAATTTTAAATAATAAAAATAATTAACAAAAAACACTAAAACAAAATGACACCAAATCACAATATAATCAAAGTTTGAAATTGAAAAAGAAAATGAATTTTAAAAAAATGACAAATTAATGTAGTAAATTTTAAACAATATAAAAAATTGAGAAAAAATTATTTGAAATACACTTTTAATCCGAAAATGTATTTCGGACAAATTATATATATATATATATATATATCATGCCACTATAATTTAAAAATTATCAAAATATATATTTCAAAAGAAAAAAAATCATGTTCTAAGAATTTATTTCAAAATTCATACATATAAAAAGATAAATCAAAACTGTCGATATATATGATTTTAAATTAATTAAATGAGAATTTTTTAAAAAATGACAAATTAAAGTAGTAAATTTTAAATAATAAAATTAATTAACAATAAAATAAAATAAAATGGATTAAATCACAATATAATTTAAGTTTGAAATTAAAAAAAATGACAAGTTAACGTAGTAAATTTTAAATAATATCAAAAAAATCGAAAAAAATTATTTGAAATACATTTTTAATCTAAAAATCTATTTTAAAAAATTATATATATTAATCATTCCACTACAATTTAAAAATTATCTAAATCTATTTTTCAAAAGAAAAAATAATCATGTTCTAAAAAATTATTTCAAAATCCATACATATAGAAAAATAAATCAAAACTGTCGTTAAATATAATTTTAAATTAATTAGTTAAGAATTTAAAAAAACGATAAATTAAAACAGTAAATTTTAAATAATAAAAATAATAACAAAAACTACTAAAACAAAATAGGATTAAATCACAATATAATCAAATTTTGAAATTGAAAAAGAAAAAAGAATAAAAAAATTGAGGACCAAACTGTTATAAAAGTGACATAAATAATAAAAGTGGTAGTGATTTATAATTTATGAGTATATAAATAATATTTTAAATAGTGACATAAATCGTAAAAAAATGTTTTATTTTAGCTTTTTTACTGATTTATGGGTGTACAGATGGGTGTGGGTTTAACATTTTCTAGAAAATAGGATTGATGAGGTCCACTCTGAAAGCACTATTATTTGAATTTTCGGAAACGTCTGGTGACACGTCACCTCTTACATTAAATTAGACACGGATAAGCCCCATTCAGACAGCATTGCCCTCTTCTTTTTTCTTTTTTTTTTGTGAAAATACGGCAGCCTTTAATTCATCGGAAGGAAAGGGTCAGCATCAAATCTAAGAATTTTTTACTTTTTTATGTGTGACAACTCGCTGAGCATGTAGAATGCTTTATTTATAAATCACGACCCGGTAAAGTCATTCATTTCTCGTGTGATACGATAAATTCTAAAATACCTCTTCCACTTTGGCGGAAAACAAATATTTTAAAACAATTAATTTCACTCCATAAACAATATTATTTTTTTATTTTACTCCTCCTTTAGAGTTTTGGTAAAAGCAAATGACGAAAATGTCGTAATAAACTTCTAATCCCTTTGTTCTCTGCAACTACAATGGAAACAGAAGTCTCATCTTCTTCTCTCTAATTCTAAGCTTGCAAGAGGTAAAATAAAAGGAACAAAAAAAAAAAAAAGGTCCGATGAACCCCTACAAGAAAACCTAAATTAAAAATATCGATTAAATTTATCCCTAAAAATCCCAATTCTAAAAAAATCAAAAAACACTTCGATCAAAGTTGTTGCAGCGTGTGATGGTTGATGATGGTGAAGCGAGAATAGTCAGGAGGCTGTTGTTGTGTGGTGTTGCTAATAGCGTTGAATGAAAAAAAGGCTTAGCTCATGACGAAGAGAAATCATTTTTTCAGGTGATGAGAGAAAGATGGATTGCTGGTGCTGCCAGCCACCGTTGGAACTGTTGTTGCGACTGTAAAATGATGGTGTTGCTTATAGTGTTGATCTTTGAAAGTAAAAACTTGATGGTGACCGGATTTCAGTGACTAGTTTATTTTTCTTTATCAGTTAAGGAGAAGAGAGAGTGGAATTGGGAGCATTTTTAAGGTATTTTCGACAATTTTTCATCAGAACCCTAGAAAAGAGGCAAAATAATATATATATATATATATATATATATATATATATATATTGTTTAGAGAGAAAAATAGAAAATGTTTTTTTATTCAGAGAGGTATTTGTTTTATTTGCTAAAGTTCAGGGGTATCTTACAATTTAGCTTTTATGATATAGCGAGGAGCTGCATCCATACGCAATAAACTCATCAAGAACCGGGCAAATTACTTCAATCTGCAGTTAAGGCTCCTCTAAGATTCAACAAGATGCAGCAAGCTGGTAAGCCTTTCTTCTTCTTCTTTTTTCTACGTCTCTCTGATCGATCGTTTATTAGTAACAAATTAAAAATAAGATTTGACATTTCCTTCCTTTCTTTTAGATAATAATGGCCATGGCAAAGTCGTTCTCATGCGAGTTCTTGCTGCCACCTTGTTGGGTTTCACCATTGCTACTGCAGCTCACTGTTATCGGAGAAAACCAAGAGCTAAAAGAGACCAGCACATCATTCCACGCTTAGACAGGACAGAATCTGGCCGTTTTGGAAACCTTGAAAGATTCCCCCATTATGTTGGTAAATTAAAAACTGCTTCAGGAAACTATTTCTTTGTATTATTTTTTCTTGATAAATAATTTTCTCAAAGTTAAGAAAAAAGAAATGTTACCCATATTTTTCACTGTGGTGTTAATTTGCAGCTAGGCAAATGGGATTTGCAGATCCAAATGAGTGTCCTCAGCTATGCAAATTGGCTTATGATTATCTGAAAAGATCTGAAGGGTGTGAAAATAACATCTTTGACTATTTTGCTAATCTACCTGAGGCTGAATCTTTATATGTGAAGTTGTTAGAAGAGTTTGAAAGATGCATCCTAACTTACTTTGCATTTCATTGGAGCGAGGCATCTCGTATAATCAGTCAGGTATAATTATCATCCGTTTTTAGAATCAATTGGTAAAAGAAGAAGAAGAAGAAGAGTGTCTTTTTATTTTCTTTTTCTTTGTTTTTTTCTGTTTCATTTTACTATCCTTTTGTTGTCATATGCTCTTTGCTCCAATTTTCTGCATGAATGGCAGGTTATGGATGTTGAATCCGTGAAGAAACCAAAGCTCAAAGGCATCGTAATGGCAGCCACAAGGTAATTGCTCATCTTCTTGCACGTTTTTCAAACAATTTTAACATGTAGGAATTATTACATTGTACTAATAATTGACTTAATTTTTTCAATGACTTTTAAGCAACTTGGAATATAATAATGAATGTAACATCAGGGGTGTTAGAGGGAGGGAGGGCATACTTTATTTTTATGCATTACTGCCGTGCAGGACAACATTAATTATAGGTAACATGTCTGAAATTAATGAGGCTACCTTATCGTGATATATTTATCTTGTCTGGCTGCCTATTATTTAAAATTTTATGTTGTAACTGGTTGAATGTTTTAATGTTATAATTCAGTGGAGCAAATTTTCTAAACATGGTCTCAATCCTAAAGGGTCATGGGATTCCAGCAGGTTTAATAAATAATTTAGTTGACTACAAGTCAGCAGACTCGGCACTAATACTTAATAGTGGCGTTCGACGAACCTAGTTTTGCTTGCTAAATAGTAGCAAAATTGCAAGACAGTCGTTAGGTTGCCGAAGGTCACATATGGTTGTTGCTTTTGTGAAATAATTGGGAATTTTACAAAATTGAACAAATGGTTCCAATGAATTAATTGGTACATAAAACACAAATTTGATGAAGGAAGAAAACATCCTCTAGTCCTCACTATCATCAGTCATTTTTCCCTTCTTTTTAATAATAACATAATATTGGTGTTTGTCTTTATGTGTTAATTTATCGACTATTGGTTTGTTTTTTCTTTTTTTTTTCTCTTTATTTTTTATATAAAAAGGAATTTTGAACTGAAAACATTTTTAAAAAAAATAAAAACATTATTACTAATTGAGCTACACATGATTGATTGATTAGATCTGTTGATTTTTAGTAATCTCTCTTTACAGTCCAATGAATCTTATAGAACTTTCTATCCTTAATTATTATTAAAAACTTTTTTTAAAAAAAAATTGGCTCTGATATTTTGGATTTAGACCAAATTAATAGCCATCCCTCTAGCTAATTGATTCTATTTCTTTTGTTAAAACCAAAATTAATAGCCTTAAATGGAAATTTGTACATGGATTGGAGAGAGGGGTTAATTTTGCCAAAAAATCCAAAATTCAGGGTTAAATGTGGCCAAAAAAAAAAAAAATCTGAAACCACAAATACAAACCCCACTTTGGTTCCATGCACGAACTGTTCACGGGCGGATGTGGTCACGTGAACAGGTAAATGTGCAGAATGAAAATGCACCATTACTTGTACACATTAGTGGGGATTAGTTTGCAGTCCGAGAAATCGTTTTGGCATTATGTAGGCCAAAATGATTAATCTCACAAATTATAAGTGCTTCCTGATTTTTTAACTTAAAAAAAGAAAGGGTCAGAACAAACAGCATTTGTTCATATAATAAATGTTCCATATACTTGAAATTCTTTGCATGTGATAAAGAAGAAGCATTATAGTGAATTAGTGATGTCTATTTGGTAAAAGGGTCAATTCCTATAAATTCCTTCATTACCAAGTTGAAAAAAAATAAAACAAAAAAATAAAATAAATAATCATATTTGAGATATTTCTTATTTTCTTCTGCAATAATCATCATGGTTCTATTTTTGTGTGGTTTGGCAGGAAACAAAGATTTGAGAGGGTGACCAGGAACTTGAAGGTTAAAAGGGCGTTTTCTGCTCTAGTGGAGGAAATGAAAGCAATAGGCCAGGTGGAATCACACTGCACGGAAGTGATGGTGCCAGTGGCCCTGAGTGAGAGGAGCCCGGTGCTTCTTCTCATGGGTGGTGGTATGGGGGCTGGCAAGAGCACTGTCACCAAAGATATTCTCAATGAGTATGATTTTATATATCAAGCCTCAAACACACACACACGCGCTAGCGAACAAAGCATTACTGTTATGATAAATTTTCCAAAATTGCATATTTTTACTGCATAATTTAATTCTAGAAATAGAAGCATCTTATAAGAAACAAGATTATCAGCTACCCAAAAAAAGGCCTGGGCTTGAACATGCCTATCTTGCCAATTACCATCTAAATTCTAGTAAGGGTTATGTCCAGCACGAAAGCAGCAGCTAACAAGGCCCTTATAATTGCCAAAAAGAAAATCTAATTTCTGTACTTGTACAAACAAAAGGCTAACTGGTAAAATAATGCCTGAGTTTTTGTTAATATCCAACTTAATCCTAATTTTTTTTTTTTATTAACTCCATATATCATGTCAAAACAATCAGCGCAAATTATATAAGTTCTATTATTTTTTATTAGGATGGGAAGCTTGCCGGAATCGGTCAATTGCTTTTGCTTTAACTTAATAGATCCAGGTACCCTAAAAAAAAAAAAAAAAAAAGGTTCATAATTAAGTTAGATTTTACCAAAAATATAGGGATCTCTCTATCAATTAGCCTCCCAGACTATAGTGACCCTGTACTCCTTATGAAGATAGTATAATTTTGCTTAATGTGTACATAGTGATTTGATGGGAACCTTGATCAATGATTGGGCAGAGCATTCTGGTCAGGAGCGAAGGGAAATGCAGTTGTAGTAGAAGCTGATGCGTTCAAAGAATCGGATGTTATTTATAGAGCCCTCAGCTCTTTTGGCCATCACGATGACATGCTTCCAACAGCTGAATTGGTACACACTCCTTCCTCTCTTTTTTTTTTAGTACTGAAAATAAAATGTACAAATGTTAATGTGCTAGCATGGTAAAAATTTGCTTTAAAAAAGCACAACATTCCAGAATCATACCCACTTGGTAATCGATAATCTATATTGTTAGGTACACCAATCATCAACTGATGCCGCATCATCACTCCTGGTAACCGCACTTAACGAGGGACGGGATGTGATCATGGACGGGACCCTGTCATGGGAGCCTTTTGTGGAGCAAACAATTGCCATGGCACGTAATGTACATAAACGTCGTTACCGAATGGGAGAAGGCTACAAGGTGGCTGAGGATGGCACCGTTACTGAGAATTACTGGGAAATGTTAGAGCAGGAGGAAGATCAACAATTAAACAAGGAGAATGGACAATTAACTGTCAGGAAACCATACAGAATAGAGCTGGTTGGAGTTGTCTGTGATGCTTACGTTGCTGTCGTTAGAGGCATCAGGTATAAATCTAAACATAAAACTAACTAGTAATTAACATCACGTCCGTCATCTTTAATGATTATTATCGACCATTATGGTACATAAATAGTGGGGATTCTAATGAAATGAGTTAATTATCTATTTTCCAGAAATAAATTAATTAGTTTTTTATTTAAAACTTTAATTATTTAGTTCTTCAATTCAAGTTGAACGTATTTAATTTAGTATTATTTTATTTTAAAAATATTTATTTTTTTATTATTTTTTTCATGATATCTATTTTTTAAATAAAAAAACAAAATAAATTAAAAATAACTAAATAATTTGTTTTAAAAAAAAAATCATTCATTTTTCAAAACTAGGACTAATTTATAATTTAGTGTAATGAAATTCAAAGTGGGTATGTTTGGGATTTTGAACAGGAGAGCCATAATGACAGGAAGGGCAGTGAGGGTGAATTCCCAATTGAAGTCCCACAAGAGATTTGCCAGCGCGTTTGAAAGATACTGCCAACTTGTTGATAATGCCAGGCTTTACTGCACCAATGCAGTAGGAACCCCACCTAGGGTGAGGAAGAATCTACCCTCTGGTTTACCTGTACTTCATTTCATGCATTTTTCTTTTCTTTCTTTTTTTCTTCATAGTGATATGCAATGCCCAAATCCAACGGGCAACTTAATTGATCACCTAGGTTAGAATGAATCTTCAAACATGAACGAGCAAATTTGTCATCCATCTAAAAGCTAAATACGCTTCACTGATTCCCCTGAAGAAACAATCCATGCTTTTTTGTCCGTCCACCATTTGATTTCAGTCACTGCCAAGTAAATTGACTTAACAAAAGAGATTTTATTGAGTCGAACTGTGACATAACTAGACGCACCCCACCACGACCCGTCAAATCAAAGAAGACTGATAATTGCGACGTGGAATCCCATACCGTAGTCCGAAATGCAGGATTCCGAACTTGGACCGAGCAACCTCAAGGCCTTCAACAATTAAGCCGAACTTTATGCATAATAGATTTATAATCGAAACTACATTATCTTTCTTCTTTTTTCAACAACTACATCGATCTTGCCTATGGAATTGCATTTGCATTTTGTTTAAGACACTGACTTTGTTTGGTATGCAATGCCAGATGATAGCGTGGAAAGATGGGGACAACAAGCTCCTAATTGACCCAGAGGAATACGAGTGGTTAACAAATGTGAGCAATTTAAAAACAGAGGCAGAATCCATCTACGAGCTTTACGCAGATCCAAACCCAATTTTCGAGCCAGGCTCTGTTTGGACAGACATCGTCTTCGATCCTTTCAGATCCACTCTTCAATCAGAGCTCAAAACATCCATTCAAAACATCGAAAAACCATGACTGTTAACTTTGGTCGCTGTACGTTTCTGACTAATTAATGCTGCTGCTATTAACTTTTAATGAATTAACTGTTGTCGTAAAATGACAGGAAGGTTAAATCAAATTCCATTCAAACTGATGTTGAATTACATTGAAATTGTTTCTCCTAAGAACCTTACAATTCTATACCCAAACCAACCCTCACTAAACCCTAAATTTACATATCCTGCCATTCCATCCAAACAAACCGTTTCACTTCTTAGCCTTCTTAGCTGCCTTCTTCACCGGTGACTTAATACTCTTGGGCTTCTTAACAACCTTCTTCACCGGAGTCTTCTTCTTAGCCGCGACAACGGCCTTCTTCGCCTGGGACTTAACAGCCTCAGTCTTCGCCGCCTTCTTCGGCTTAGCCACAACCTTGCTCTTCACTGATGTACTCTTCGGCTTAGACTGAGCCTTAAGCTTCGCTGTAGCGGCTTTCTTAACAGCAGTAGCATCAGTATTAGAAGACTTAGGAGGGAGCTTGAAGGAGTTCTTGACCTTAACAAGCTTGCCACCAGCAACAAGTTTCTTCAATTGAACAAGCAACAATTTCTTGAAATTTGCAGGGAGGTTAGATTTCTGCTTCTCTTCAATAAACTTAGCAATCGCGATCTGGCTCGATCCAGTCCTCTCCTTCAAAGCCACAATAGCCTCCTTAACCATCTGCAGAATCAAAATCACAAATGTATCATCAGTAATTCACAATCCAAGACGAAATGCCGTTTGATTAGCGAACAAGATATTTGATGAATGATCGATTGATTACCTCATGATAAGTAGGGTGGGCTCTGGGTTTCTTGGCACCACCAGAGGCTGCGGCTGCTGGTCTCTTCGATTTTGAGGGATTGGCTTTGGCCTTTGACTGAGATGCAACAGCGGCGGAGGACATGATTGGTTAAAGCACAGAGAATTGAGAAATCAAGAGACTGGGATTTGGAGAATTTCGACAGGTTAGCGGATTGAAGTTTTTTTTTTAGTAGATGATTTCGAGGGCGGGGTATTTATAGAAGAGTGGGAAATGAGCAAGGGGCAATATGATAGGTGGAAATTGGTTTGACGCGGATCGTTATCCGCGGGAGGGGTGGTTTAATGTGGTCCGCTGGATTAGGTGTTATCCACGGTTAATGGCGCAATTTTAAAGTGAAAAGCGAATTTGAAAAGTGGGCTTTGATTGGTCGAAAGAGGTTCGACGAGGATTGTGCTATTAGAAGGGGTTTGTATGAAAGGTGAGCCGTTGGATTGGCCACGCTCAGTAAACAATGATTTGTTCAGGTAAATTGGAATTGGTTTTCGAAAGGTTTAATAACATAATTTCCCCCAAAATGATTGTGATAAAATAAAACTTTTTATTAATTTGAGTTAGTTTAATTCTAAATTATGAATTTTTTGGCAAATTTTATATTTTTTCTATTATGTCTAATGGGTAAAATATTAATTAATAAAAAAATAAAGTAAAACGATCGGTTATTATTTATTATACTATTTGAAATACTTGTTCATCCGGACTTATTTCATTATCCACTAACTCAGATACAATATTCATTTTACTATATAATGATATTTTTATAATTTTTATATATTTTAAAAATATTTATTATGAAAGTTTTCATAGCATTATATTTTATTTTTTTCTTTTTTAAACATTGTCTTTTTAATCTGTAAATGTTTTTTATTTAATTTTGGTCTCACTTTTTTTATTTCACTTTGGTCACTTTGATCATTTTTTTTTTTGAATGAAAAATTTTAGGGTAAAAAAATATTTATAAAATAAGTTTTTAGCTATGAATCCATTGATTTTGACTTTTTTATACTATTATAAATTTTTTAATATGTGGATAGAGATAAATAAATAATGTTTTTAAATAAAAAATTATGAAAAATATAAAGAATAATCAGATAAATACAAAAATTATAAAATTGAATGAATTTTTATTCATTTTTAATTTGATGTATTTTGGTATATGCATAATATAACATAGAACATCAAACTAACATAATTTTTTAAAAATAATTTTATTTGTTCTGTCTAATCCATAACATAGCGTGGGTAAAAAAAAAAACTAGTTGTTTACTAAACTACTTAAAATGATTTTTTTATAATTAAAATCAATTTTGAAAATATATATACACACACACTACATATATCCATTGCATATCATTAATTATCCAACAACAAAACCATCTAATCTTTCTTACTAACTATTGTTTTTTTTTTCAAAATTAATTTTAATTTTTTAAAAAACTAAAATGTAAGCATTTCAATTAATAGTCAATACTTTAACCATAAAAAATAACAAAAAAAAAAAAGATAACATTTAACTAAAAAATAATAATTTAGGATCTGAATAGCTTCAATTTATAATATAAGTCTTATTTTTACAACAACTCTAATATTTTGAAGGTAAATTATACCTTTAAACACGTAACCATTGAGTTGTGGCAACTAGTTTTGTTGGTGTGGGTTTAGCATTCTATAATGTAAAAGCAAAGGTATAAATATTATGCATACCATCAAACTATTGTCGTATTATCAATTTAACATCCCAACTAATGTTTGGATCAATTTTATCATTAAATTATTTTGATTTTTCGATTATGAATTTTTGTTAGAATTAGTTAACATAAAATATTATGTTCTTACAAAATAATATCCTTTTTTACAAAAAAAAAAAAAAAGACTATAATTTGGATAGAAATATGAAGAAAAAAAATTAAAAATAGATAACAATTATTAATTAAGAATTTTTGAAAATTTGAGAGCAAAATTAATATTGAAGATTGTTTTTGTTGTAACATTGGAATTACGTATATAGTTGAGTGGTATTTTTAAGGTTTATCCAAAATAAAAACCACAAAAGTATACACAAGAAATTGATCATCGAGGCTTACTAGACCTTGTCATTTAAATAAAATTATCAATAGACCAACAAAATGTAAATGATCCATTTGATACACTAAAAAATAACAAAATGATCTTTTTTTTTATCAATCAAAGCCGATGAGGTCATGATCCTCGAATTAATATTAATTGTTGGATGCCTTCTAACCAAATTTATCGCGTGATTGGTATAGTTAGTTGTATGTTGAATTTATAGAGAGTACCTGGAAAAGAAGTCATCTTCAAGTATTTAGAGTATTCTCTAATGGCTAAATTAGTATATGGAGAGAAGTGTTTGATCTAACGAGGCTTAATTGTATTTGACTCTTAGCGAGAAAATATGTAGTTTTATATCTATTTTTGAGTTTATGGGGCGGAATATATAACACTTTAAGATGTCGTTTGGTTACCATGAATGAAAGATCTAGAATGAGAATACAAGGATTGAAATAAAAATTAAGAAATCATAATGACATTTATATTATCATACTATGTTTGAAATACTAAAAAAGAATCATAATGAAATTTATATTTTTTAATATCCGATTTTTAATACGAATAAGAATTATGATTAAAAAAATAATTTCATCAACTATAATGGTAATAAAAATAACAAAGGTGATGATGGTAGTAATTGTGGTTGTGGTGGTGTGGTAGTTAATACACAACTAATAAAAACAATCTATTATTATTTTGAAAAAAAATCATTCTCATTCTTTGTTTTTATTTTCACTTTCTACATGAAAATGAAGTTATTTGTAATTTTCATTTTCATTCTCATTCGACTTCATCATTTCAACCAAACAGCTATAAGATAAGAATAAAATTTTCATTCTCATTTTTATTACTCTATTCTTGATAACCAAGCAACACATAAGTGTTAACCATTATATAAAAGAGAATGTGATCAACTTGCAATGAGTGAAAGGTAGGATAGTCTTTTCTCTTATGTTTAATAGCTCCGGACATCTATTTGAAGATTTAGGATTCGTTTAGGTGAATGTCATTACCTAACGACGTATATATAATTATGTTTGAAATGTGACGGAGACATCTCAAGAGGTCACAATTTTATTGAATGTGTGCCATTTTATTTGACAAGTGAAAGGAGTGGTTCCCTCATTAATCAAGTCATTCATTCATATTGATCATTTGGGATTTATCTGGTTACGAGGCTCTTTGATAATTGGTCGAGGTTGTCCCATTTATGGGGAAGGCTTGTCCGGATAATTTTTTTAGTGAAGTAAGGGAACACGTTTCCTAATCATGATCATATGGATATATTAGTAGCCCCATTAATTTTTTTACGAGTGTACTTCGTGAAGGCTCAAACTAAACTCGAGCTTTCTAGAAAAATACTTGTTGATGTTCACGAAAACCAATAGTGTCTTTTTCAAACTTGACATAAGTGGATGTATTAAAAGTTTATTTAATATATGTAATCTCGATAAATAAGTGAATATATGGGAAAACCAAACACTTATGCTTGAGAGTGTTTGAGAAAAGTGAAAAGGTCGGGCTAGACTCTCCTTCATCTATCAAATGACATCCACACAAGTTATTTCGCTAGACAAATGACGGTATAGGATTGGTCTACATCAATTGGGTACATCTCATAAACTTGAACTTTTAAGTGTTTAATGCAAAATTTTCATGCTCTTTTGCCTATAAATAGGTGGTGGAGTGGTTATCTTCTCACTTTCTATTGATTTTTTTTTTTTTTTTTAACTATTGTGAGTTTTCACAAGATTGATAAGGATTACTAGTAAGTAGGTGACTACTTAAAGTTCTTTGAAGAGGCCTTTTTTTGGCAAGTTTTTCCTTTTAATTACTAGAAATTTTGACGAACGTGACTTTTTTAAAGACAATTTGACCTGTTGTTGGTTGATTCCATTTATTTGGCAAGTTTGTTGAAATTTTTTATAAATACATCATTTTTCTTCTTTTTCTTTATGTTTAATTGGAAAATGGCACATTCAAAGAGGATGAAAGGTGTGTCTAGGACTTCTTCTAGAGGTGAAAGAGCAAACTCTAATATAAATGTAGTTTTTTTTTTTTCAGAATGACTGGGGTGCCTTCCATTAGAGATTAATCCAAGGATACAGAAAGTATAATTCCAAGATAATTACAACAATCGCATAAAAAAATTTGAAAAACCTCAAGAACTTCTATTCAAACATTTAATATAACATGATTTGATATTAAACCACCAGACTCCTTATATAATCTTTCCTATAACTTGAATCTCGAAATCTGATAAGTATCATTTATCTTATTCTGAAGATCCTACGTTCAAAGTTTCTGACTCATTTATTTCAGAACACTTATAACTAAATGGGGTAGTCTAATCTTATCTTTATCTGGGGTTTGTTACGGTTACCTAGATGGGTTTTGGTATAACAATGTATCTAGATGGGAAGGCAACACTCCCATGTCAAGGCTCGTTTATTTTCTTCAGGCATATCACAGTACATCAAAGGATTTAGGTGAGAGATAGTTAAAAAGAATGCCTCTCTAGTTATTTTCAAAAATTAACATGAAAAATATAAAGTATTGAGTGAAAAAAAAACACAACAACTTTTTAAAGGCGTTCTTACCATTATAAAAAGTTATAAAGGCAAACTTGTAATAATTTGAATGTTATTTTTAGTTGAAAGCTTTTTTTTTTTTTATAAAATTAAAATACAGAATGCTTTCTAAAATAAAAATATAAAATATAATTTTTGAAAAATAGAGATGTAAAGTGTTATGATACTCAAACCACAAAGTGATTAACTTAATTTATCTGTTGAAAAATAACTATTATTTAAAATCTCTGGAATGACTTTAATTCTTGATCAATTATTTAAATATGGAAGAAAATGATATATTAAAAAAATTTCATCACTTCTCCTGTGATAAATTAAACGTAAGATACATAAATTTTGTTAATTTTAAATGGTTAACTGATCACCTATAATGACCTCTGGACATTTTAATAAAAGGTTGACGTTACAAAAAATCATGAAGTACAAGAGTCATATTATCAAATTAAAATGATAATATGAAATTCACGTGTTAACAGGCTGCAGAATAGACAGGCCTTACTATAACCTGATGTTTGGGCCGAACACTAAAGAGACGCCAAGCCCAAATGAAGGGACGAAAATACTAATTAGGGCTACATGACACACACTCCTCCTTTAAAACTTCTCCCTCCATTACATTGAAAACCCTAGCGGCCACAGATCCACATCGTCCCTCGCTCGGCTAGTTTCTTCTCGTTTCCAAACTTCAAAAAGCAAACATGGTGAGGCCTAAACTCTATCTTCCGCGCTTTATAGTTGCACATTTGTGCGTGTTAATGTTGCATTTTCCTTGTTTAACATGGTTGTTTCGTGTTGATTTTGAATATAGGCTGATGTGGATCCAGAGGTGGCTGCAGCAGGACAGCCAAAGAAGAGAACATTTAAGAAGTTTAGCTTCAGGGGTGTTGATTTGGATGCCCTTCTTGACATGTCCACCGATGAGCTTGTCAAGCTCTTCAATGCACGTGCTCGCAGAAGGTATTTCTTCTGTCTTTGGTTATCACTTCCATTCACCTCTCTTTGTATATAATGTATGTATTTACTATGTTTGTAAACGTGGGTTTTAGGTTCCAGAGGGGTCTGAAGAGAAAGCCTATGGCTCTCATTAAGAAGCTCCGGAAGGCGGTAATTATTCGTATTCCTTATTTTTATTTATTTATCAGTCTGATTTGCTTATGTCCTGAGGTTTAGGATTGTTTGGTTTGCTAAACTCTTAATGGATTAATGATCGTTTGCTATTGTTGTTTCTGGTCTTCTGATTCGGATTTGGATTCTTAATTTCAGTCTTGTCCATTCATACATGGTATTCATGTATAAGGCCTTGGTAAATAGGAACAAGAGAATACACAAGCGATGTTTTGCATACGGTTAATGTTTTGAGAGTTTAACAATGAAGTGAAGTGTTGTTTATGATCCATCATGGATGGCTTAAGAGGGATCATTTCTGTTGGATGTGATGGAAAGTTATCATTGGGAGTTGCCAATTAGATAGGAATTATTTTTAGGTTTTGCATGGCCACTACTTTTCTGCCTTATCATTTGTATTTTTCATTTCTTGTTAATTTCAATCCACTTACCTTGAGTCTGTGGATTGGTATGATTATTTGTGTTGGTGTTTGGGAGCTTATGCTAGTCTTGATTGGTGCTGCTTTTTAGTGGCATTTTTAAAGCTCGCTTACAATTTAGAGCAATTGTCCTATTTGCTATTCTGTTGAGGAGTTAGAATGGTCTATGGCATCTTAACAGTGTTGTAGTTGTGCTGGAGAGGGAGATGCGAGAACTGAATTTTGACGTCTTGTCTCTGAATGTAGAAGGGTAGCTCATAGATAATATTGATATTGGTTTGAATTTTGAATCTAGGTATGAATTTAACTTGGTTGGAGGATAATAAGCAGAAACTCATCACAAACTTTTGACTTGTATATCTTCTTGATGGAATAATCCAATTGATTATTAATTTATTCTATCACACGAGCCTTCCAATGTGGAAGTTGTTGCTGAAGGAGCCAATCTCAACGATCTGAAGCAAAAAAACCCTTTGATTTATGCAGAAATTCTAACATAATATAATTTGTTTCAAATATGTTTGATTCCAAATGCTTTAATTAATTGTATGATAGTCTTATTAAACTCAAATCAATTGATGTGGCTTATATTTCAAAACTACTACTCAATTATTTCTAATGATATAAATCTCAATTCTAGTTTCTTTTTTGATGTTTTGGAGCAGAAAAGGGAGGCCCCGGCTGGGGAGAAGCCTGAAGCTGTCCGCACACACTTGCGTAACATGATCATTGTACCCGAAATGATTGGAAGCATTGTTGGAGTGTACAATGGCAAGACATTCAATCAGGTTGAAATCAAGCCTGAAATGATTGGACATTATCTTGCTGAGTTCTCAATCTCATACAAGCCTGTTAAGCATGGTAGACCCGGTATTGGTGCTACCCATTCATCTAGGTTCATTCCTCTTAAGTGAGATGTTTTACAGAAGCCTTAATACTCTAGTTCGTTTCAATCTTTTGAAGACAGCGGTGCTGATCAAATTTTTGTCTATTAGTTTATTGACGATGTCATTTTTGTTCCAATTATAATTTTAGAGAGTTTCTTTCATTCCTATGAATTTGAGAGATGACTTAGGAAGGTTAACTCTTATATGTAATGATAGCTTAAACGTGTTTTTGGATTCTCTGACTACACTTTTACGAAATGGTTTTTAGATGCCTGGTATGCTGCCCAATTTCATTCCAGTTTTTTCTGACCTTTCAATATTTTTTTTTTTGAACAAATAACTGAAAGGATGGTTACGGATATTTTTTTTAATGGTAGCAACCTTTTGAGATTGGAATATGTTATTGCTGTGGCTTATCTGACTTTATCGTAGCATTTCATTTCTGTCCTGCTTTCCTGAGCGAGTCCTGCCTTGTCATCTCAGTAATTCTTTATGTTATTATGGTCTTATGTTGCCTGCTGCTGTTGGCCTGTTGCCGATGTTTGAACCTTGTTGGTTCGGAATTACATTACCAAGCCACGAGGCCCGGAGGTGTTGGCCCTTGCTGAAATCATCTCATTTATGTCCTCGTGCTGAAATAGCTTCGGCAAGGTTTTTTTTTTTTTTTTTTTTTTTTTTTTTTTAAGCAGGAGGACAAGGTAGTCCACAATTGACACCTATGTATTTATTTAGCCATTAATTAATTCTTTCAAGTTGTTAAAATAAACTTATTATTTACTTTTTTTCCATTTTTTCTTTTTTCTTTTCTTTTAAAAAATAGAAAAAAAAAATAGATATCATAGAAAGATTAATGATGAATTTTTTTAAATAAAAAATATGAAATTCAATATAATCCATACTAAAGATATTGGGTTTATATACACATTATCTAGGATGTGACCTACTAAATATGCGGAACCTAATCCACAAAAATAAAAATCCAAAAATTTGTCCTCTCTATTGCTGAAAAATCCAGAAATCTAGCCTCTGTATTAGTGTTAACATTCTTTTGTTATTTAGGATGATGCGATGTGAATTTTGGGTGATATATATATATTAGGTTTCAGAGGATTCTAGGCGTTTCTTTCTACGGCTGTTGTTGTTCTGTATGAGAGATGGAAGGTTCCCCGTCAAAATAAATAAATAAATAAATAAAACAACCCCCAACTATGTCTCAACCTTACCCTATTAAATCATTGTTCTTTAAAATTCAATATCAGTAGAATTGGATATGGTAGCTCCAACGCCTGTGAGTAATGTGGAAATCACGTTCGAAGTAAGTTAAATAAAAAAAATTAATTAATTCGTTTCTCAAAAGCAGAAAACTATTTATAATTTATATTATTTACTCCTGTTCGACTGGTCTTTCCATCGAACCTTCCTTGGACCTGTGACTTGCAATTATTTTCATTCTTGGTTTACATGGCCCTGCCACGTGCCGTTTTGATTTGATAGTTGCACTAATTTATTCATTTATTAGTTCAGTTATGCCCTCGTGCTGAAAAAGATTGGACAAGGTAGTCTTTTTGTATCCAATATGTCCCTTGTCTGGAATAATCGTATCATTATAATCTAATGCTCGCCTTGCCTACCGCAAATAAAAGTCTTTTTAAGCTTTTAGTCAATCAGAATTCAAACATAGACTATTTAAGCATCCAGAAACTAATTAAACTGCAATCTGCTGAAACTGTACAGTCAAGCTGACTTGTATTACCATCACGTTTGGTTGCTTTTACAGTCAAAAGTATTGAACCAACTCCCCCAAATTTTCTTCTTTGGCTTCTGTCTAACCTTCCAGGAAATGGTGTGGAAGTTTCTTCTCAGTGTCTTGCCAGCGCCCTTTTCACGGCATTTTCAATCTCAGCAGCTTCAATCTGGCAACATTTGAAACACACACATAAGAGTTGATTAAAATATTGGACCATGTGCACACTTTTTCATGCACGTGTTTTTAATTTCATAAGGACAGCATCGGCAAGAAGACAGAATTGAAAATGACCCTTCCATGGATGAAATTGAAATCGAGCAGTTCGTGGGTCTCTTTTGGGCTAACTATGCAAGAAACGTATACGTCCAGGTAAATATTGATGGATCATGTAAAATGGTGACTTTGTTTCCAATTCTCTTTACTAAGAGATTAACCATAACTGCTGCTATATGTTACTAAGAAGTAGAGTGATAATAACTTGCACGTGGGTAAATATTGATGGATCAAAATTTGCCTAATGTAAAAGACCATTGTTGGAAAGTGTAATTACCTCAGTTTCAATGTCCATTGCTGCTACAAGTTGCTGATCAGAAAACTGAGATCGAATGCTTCTGGTTTTTGATCCCAAGCTCTTAAGGCACTTGAGAACGTCCACCAAAGGATCCACCCCAGATGTTGGATTGGCTACTTGAATTCTAATCTTTGCAGTCTCCACATTTCCAATTCCACTTGCTGCCAGTCTCTCTTCTATTTCATCATTTCTCCTCTCCAACATCTCCTTATATGTCTTCAGCTCTTGAATTCTATTTGCAGCCATTTGCATAATCGAGTTCTTATCTTTCTGCAAATCAAGATCACACATAAGAACTTCCGTACTTAATTATTTGCAATACTGATTAACTAGTACTTTACTTAATTATTTATCACTAACCTTGGTGCCAAGGGGCAACAAAGAATGCAGAGCCAAGTAACCATTCCTCTCCCTCTCTCTCCTCACTCTCTCACTCATCATATGACGATAACATCGTTTGCTATCGGGCTCTTGAGTTCCAATCGTCACTGGGCAACTTTTCCTCATGAATTCTATCCTTCTTTTGTTCATGTTAGTAGGATGTGCCCCCTCAGATGATCTCTCTACACTAATTTCGCTTCCAACCCCATGTCTGCTTACATAAGGCACAAAAGCACTTCGATTCACTGGACCAAATATCTCACACCAGATGACATCACCTTGCAATTCCTCTTGAAAGAAATGATCCATCTCCCGTCGTCTCCCTTGCCTTTCACCCGGGAACTTCAAACTTCAGTTTCCAACGGTTATAGTAACGTTGTCCCTAAACTGAATTTTGTGTTTTATATGCTGGTTATTTACAATTGAGGCACATTTAGCATATGGTCAATTTTGTTGATTTGGTCTAGACTACTTCTCTCTAGTCAATGGGAAACAAACTCTGTCAAAGGTAGTTGGCTAAGTTTATTTTAGGAGTCATTTTCACATAATACGGATAGTCAAATAAGAAATGGGGCTCTCTTCTGAATATGGAGGCTATATCCTATCCATTGATTTTGAAATCCAACAGTCCCTCTTGTCCCATCCCATCTGGTGGTCTAGATGGTTTCTTTGACTATTTTTGAAAGATTCTTTTGCAAATTTCAAGAATACTTGCGGCTCGATTCAGGCCCCAAAAATTGGCCAGTGACAAGTGCTCATAATTGGCAACTCCCGTATGAATTTTCTAGCCTTGAAGGGAGCTCTTTGGCCTTGGATGATAACTTTCCTAATCATGTAGAAGAAAACTCAAATCTAAATAGTTCCTAATACGGCGAATCTATCTAATCATATTCGATTCTAGGAGCAAAACAGTGTGAACCTAAAAAATTGATGTTGCTGACTTGCTGTGAACAAAACCATTGCAGATCCCTTTGACCAGCAAGGAGGGACGTTGACCTTTTAAGCCAATAATAGAGCACTGACTGTTCCCTTTTGCGCAACAGCTGGTTTCTCTCCCATGCTACACAGCAACAGACAAACCATAGCTTAAATATCTTTTAACGTATAGCAAGAACTTTGAACCGAACAAGATGGCAATGGCCTCAAGTCGTAATTCCCTCCTTGAATGCCAACATTCGTAGGTATTGGCTGATCAACTAGCTGAGAAGATTAAGAATGATGTCAGAAAGGGGATTCACTAGAAGCAACTTTTCAATTTTCGTCCATAAGGACATAATTGGCTGATCAACTAGCAAGTTATCCGAGCTTCCATTTGTAACTTCTTGCACATAGTTTTAATGAAATTTAATCTGCCACGTGAAAAATGGTAATTCAGTGGTAACAAAATATCGGGAGCGTTTTTCTTCTGCAACAAAATTTCAACAGAAGCTGAAGACCTAATTTACAGGCAAAAAGACTGGGCAAAGCCATCCAATACATGAGCCTAAAGAAATGTTTTGTACATAGTGACGTGCAGGCGGTCTGAGATCTTATGGCTATATGGTGACATTTTTCTAGCTGAAATGATGGTTTGTTTTCATTGGTCAATGCATATAAACCATTATCTTCTTCTCTCGCTGTGCAGCCGCTGATGCACACTAACTTAGCCATGCTCATGCATGTCCATCACAAACCTGAGTTCTTCCTTTTCCAGACAGTTATTTTTGGACTTCATATGGAAAATTTGTATGGAGATTCTGAATCAACTTATGCTCTCTTTCAAAATCATCTCCATCCCCATCACTTTCGCTGTCATACCTCCCAAGATATACTTCATCTCCGTAGTGGTCCTATTTAAGGGGATGAAAGACAGAAAAGAAGGGTGTTAGAACAAAGTGGATAGAGCAGCCAAAAAGACAGAAGAAATGGAAGACACAAGTAAAACTATAAAAATAGACCTCGAGTTCTCTTTCAGACTCTTGTATCTGAACATTGTTACGAAGATTCGGTTCCAGATGGGCATTTTGAACTCTGTTGTCAATTTCATCATCATAATCAACATCATTTTCACTGTTGTATGTTTCATCTCCTTCGTCCTATAAAAAACAATGAGAAGAAAGTGTGTTAAACAGCCAAGTTAACAGACAAAAGAAGTCAACATAGAAGATTAAATAAACATAGACCTCTGTATCATCTGCATCATCCTCTGTAGGATAAGCAGAATCTAATCTGTCATACAACTCCTCATCTCCTTTGTCTTTCACAATGCCCATTTGCTCCTATAAATGTCAAGTACGCAACAAATACAAATAAGATTCGACTGAGAAGTGGAAGTAAAAACAGCAATAGCGAAAGCATAAAAGAAGCCTTACGATTTCAGATCTTATTTTCTCCACTTTAATTTGCAGAGCTGAAACATGATTTTGCAGAGCCTGTTCAACAGTATAATAAGAACTGTCAGCCAAGGTGATTGGTGTCTGCAAGTACCTCGACTAGTGAACTTTAAGATTTGTATTCAAGATGGGAATTGGTTATCATGGGAAGAATCAAGAATGTAGCCCAAATTTACTCTCCCCCTTCCAACCCATTTTATCATACCAAGCATAGATGAGCTGGGTAAAGTTCCCCAAAATAACCATCCAAATGCAGGGCAGCAAGCATGTGGCCTCATTGTACCAGTTTCAAGTCCTTATACACACATGTAACCGATGTTTGCAACCCATTGGTTGCTTACATACAAGCTACTATTATCAATTGAAGGGGGAAAGCCACAGGCTGGGGATAGTCTTAGAAACCACACTCACTGTAGACCAGGCTTTTAACAACCTGGTAATATGTGTAGCTCAAACGACTCATTGAAGGTTTGGGTCTGGATTTCCAAAACATTGATGCATTCAGAATTGTATGTAGGTGAGTTGTCTGCTCACTGCTGGGACGCCAGCAGAGCCAATAGGTAAGGCCCTTACGTTACAACAAGAAGAGTGAGAATTTCTGCCAACGGAGCTGAAAACTCAAAAGGAAGTTGCTACTAGACAGGAGGGAGATGCGAGATACCACCTGCCATAGCATGGAGAAACTTTACCACCACTAGGCAAATGGCTGTTGTAGGCATAGTTTTATCGCATATGCGGTTGTAAAAACAGTAGCGATCTCGACTTATCGCGGTAGTAAAATAATGGTCACAAAAACCAATGTCATGAATGCAATAGCAAGCTAGCAGCTGTTAATAAATTTATTCTAATTCACATATTTTTAACAGTTTTACTAATTAAGCATAATGATAACATTCCTAATAATTTAATATCATACAACAACAATTGAATTTATCACCAAAAAATATTAATAACACTTTTAATAGTTTAATATCACACAAACAATAATAAAATACAAAAAATCAATTTTTTTTTTAATATAATGGCCATTATTCGGCAAATTGTGGCTTTATGTAATCCTAATGGCATGTAATGCTGTTATTTGTGTGAAACGCCATTGTGCTTTCTATAAAAGCGTATAACAGTGATGGGCAATGCCTGAATCCATTAAATAACCCCAGTTATCTGGAACTATGGTTGCATGTTTAACTTGGAAGTTTTCATGCAATGGAATCTCACTAAAATAGGCCAAGCTAATGCAAAAGTTTTGACCAAAAAAAAAAAAAAATCTATAAATGATACCTCACTCCTTTGAATTTCTATTGAACGGGCCAACGCTTTCCTCTTTGTCAAGAGATTCTTTGGCCTCAATGTGGAAGGGCGTTGATAGTCTTTTCCTCGGTATACAATTATAGCATATCCTTTGGAGATCTTGTCCACTGAAACCAAGACCCCTCCACTCTCAGCTTCAAGAGCCAAAGCAAACTTTTTGACCTGTTCAAAACTTTTAGCTTTCAAAATGATCTTAACCAATTCACGGTACTTCCAGTGCAAGTGCATGTTCTCCACTGTACCATCAAAAACTCCACGCCTACCTGAAGCAAGTGATTTACTACCTTGTGAGTTGCACTCAATCAAAATCCAATGTAGACTTATTACAAAGATAGTTTTATTTTACCCAAAAGTAAGAAAGCTTTCATCCTCAAACCAAGCTTGCGAAACATAAATCTCTCCTCGTCAGTTATGCTTTCTGGGTCTGCCTGCCTTTCTGTTGGCTTTAAGAATCCTTCCACCTTGTTTAAGGCTCTTTCGGCTCTTCTTAGCTTTCTTTGAGCCTGACAAACAAAACACCGGAGTTTAAGCTGTATAGATTCTAGAACAAAACACGGGGTGCTGTGTGCTTATAAGGCAATTATACGATGTGGTGCATCATCCATATTTAACTAAATTACATGACACGATATTACAGCGAAAGCAATTATTTTTAATTCATCAACATGTTCAGATTTTAGTCACTGAATTTGTAAAACCAACAAAATAGTCCTCAAGATGCAAATTTTAGTGGGAGAGCAACTGTTCTTGATTTTAGAAATACAAGAACTGGAGTTTATTTGCACTAAAACTTTAGGGGACTTGATAGGTTACTCTGTAATAAATTAGCAAGGGAAACTAGCAAATCTCAAGCAAGAATTGCATCCAGTACAAATTCTTTTTTTTTCTTAAAAAAAAAAATCATTTATATTATTTTGGTGACTGAAAAATATTTCATGAGCCATGGCAAGAAAATACTAAGTTTTAAGGAACTCACAAAAGCAAGCTTCTTTTCAAGCCTTCTGACAATGTTGGCATGCCTTATTCTTTCAGCTTCCCTCATAATTTTTTCCTTATGACAATCATCTAACCTCTTTCCCCACTTCGCATCTGCATCCAAAGTTTCCTCGAGGCTGCCAGCAGTTCCAGGTTCCTCCATTATTTCGTCACTTGGTATAACCAGGGCAGATGCTCTTAACCGTGCTTGCTCCTCTTCATCTTGTAGGGACTTTGCCAATCTCTCTTTTTCCAGCAATGCTTCAGTGACCTCTGGCGACAAAAAATCCTTTCCCCTATAGAAAACCAAGAAATCCTTATTTCTAGATAGCAGCATGCCCCCTGTCAATTTCTGCAGCCAGCAAACAACAATTACAAAGTCAATTATTCAATATGGCCAATCAAAAACTTTAAGTGCAAATGAGCAATCAATTCTTATCAATGTTTACAGTGCCATGCAATTAATGTTTTACTTATCAATATTTGCTATGTTAGCTCAGGAACTAAAACAAAAGTTTTCATTTTTTTTGATGCTCAGATTATTGTGCTAAGAATACCACGCACAGATTACATTACAAAACAACAAAAATGCAAATGAGGAAATCAGGAATGATCCACATCACCAAAAATCAATAAGGCACCTATAGTGGCTCCGTTGCTCGTTAGATACTCAGATGAAACGCTTCAGAGGCCTGATGCACCTATAGAAGATTATCCATCTACTTTTGCAGTAATTAATCTACTATGTTTTTGCAACTTTCCAGGTGCAGCACTCTTGTTGAACACAATTATTCTGATATTACCTCCTGCCCATTTAAATACCCTCAACTATGCTAGGGATGAGGGGCAAGAAAAAGCATATGATTTGGTTTCCTAGTATTCATATATGAATCTGTACATAGGGCAAGAATAACAACTATTCTATACAAACTGAGTTCTGTTGTGCAATTGCTACCTAATGGATGAGATTTGAGAGAAAAGTTCACAAAATCTGTTGCACTACCTTAATATCTTCAGCCATTCTTTCACTAGTAGTCAGCTGTACACCACGTTTAAGTGCAACCTTTGCAATTGAACTCTTTTCCCATAGTTTAATGATGGCCACAGCCAAGCCCTGGAGCTGCCTGCTTCTGCCTGGTTAAGGAAAATTGCACACACAATCACTATGGATTTTGAAGGCATACGCAGTCTTACACTATTGCTGATTGAAAATAACCTACCTAACGCAAAGTGAGGAGGAAGGAACCTGGCAAGCCTTCGTAAGGACGTTGAATCCTGTCGTCCAAGAGTAGGTCTTACTCCATAAGGAAGTATCCTGAATGGAGGTTGGTAACCGGGAACAACCCCAGGAAGCATATCTGCATCCACAGGTAGCGGATCAAGTCCTGGCCAATCTGTGTACCTGGGGCCCAGACCGTCCAACAACTTGTCTACTTCATCTTCATATTTTACTTCCATCCGTGTTTCTGTCCCTTTCTTATCTGCAGCCTCTGCAGTAATTTCTGTGTTTGGTTGAGGTCCAGGTATTTCACTATAAGGAGAACTTTTGGAAGGACTTCCAATTGTTATGCCAGTAGCTGCTGGTAAGGAATTGGAAGATGTTTCCCTTTTCTTGAATATCCTTTTTTTCAGTTGCAAAGAAGGATCCTCATAGCTCACGCCTCTATATAAAGATACAGTAGCTCCTGACCTCCAAATCACCAAGCCCCCAGTTTTTTTCTGCACATTATTTTTGCAAATAAATGAAAAGGAGGAAGAACAATAAAGAGTAGCATTCTTAAACCACAGATGAAATAGGTATTCATCAAGATGCAAGAGTAACAAATATCCATACATATCATTCTTGTCTAAAGAATATTACATTTTTTTCCTTGAACCATGTAAGGTAAGGTTGACAGCACATCATTGCAAGATCAGTAAAGCAAAAGAGTGAATACATTGAAAACCCAAAATGCAGAGCTCAGAATAGTTATGGAAAACATGACGCTGATTCTAAAACTACACAAAACCCCTTTCCAAACGCCAAGACCACTTCACTTATGTTTGATAGAAACTCTAATAAAATGTCAAGTGACAATCTGATTAAACATCGTTCTTCGGCTAATGGGTGCCAGGTGATAATATATCATCTCAAAATAACCAGCTTGTCCCCAAAGTATTGTGGCTATCTACAGCTAGTACCTGCCTTCTTATTTGCTAAATGAGAAGTTCAGGTCAAAGATTCCCTTAAAAACGATCAGCTATAACCTAAAATCGATGATTCCCAAGTCCCAACTATGTTGTATACAGAATTTATATATTTTGTTAATAGTTCTTACTCTATTTGCTTCTAGCAAACCAGTGAACTGGTGACTTTCTTTTCTTGCCTTTGAGCGAGATTTAGAGCCAGTGCACACAAAAGGACGGCCTTACGCTTGTTGGTAGCCAGGCACTAGTTAGTGTATCAAGTACAATTGAACTCCAATAAGTTTTCTTTTTCATGAACAACGATTTAATTCCAATTTAACAACCAAGAATACTTAAAATTTTTGTAAACATGGTTTCTGTTTGCTTATGGTGTTCTGATTTACTTTACTTTTTTCCAATTAGCATCCCATCACCAATGCAAGAAACATACAAAATAAACAAGAATTGGCTAACCACCTAGAGCTGCAAACACAGCAAAGAATTCGCATTCACACAAGTAAAAATAGATAGCCAAATTCAGAGGCAGCATACCTCCAATATCTCGTGCATCCTCTTCATATTAAGTGCGGGTGCACCCTCAACTTTCACTCTCGCAATCTCCGAAGTCTTCCACTTCTCATGAATAGCATCAACCACTTCCTGAGTAACCCCCCTGCCCCCAACCCTAGTCTTGCTCTTCGTTCCATATGTTAAGTTCCTCAACCTCCTCGATTCAGATTCTGGCAATGTCAGCTCCGCCAATGATGTCCTACTCTTACTCCTTGCCGTCCACTTCCCCTCATCCTCCTCCCTTTTTGGCTTCTCCCACGGAAACCTCACCTGCCCATCACTCTTAAACACATCCTCTACTCCTAAAGGTGATTCTTTAGAAAACCCACCTCGTGCATTCGGCAACATTCCTTCTTCTACATAAAATATATCCTCAACACTACCTTTCTCTATTACTCTTTCTTGCATTCTCTCTTTATTCTCATTAACATCACCATCCATGTACCCATGTTTCTTCAATTTCTCCACTATTTTCTCCATTGTACTGCCACTACCACTACCACCACCGCTACTGTCACTGTTATTGCTTCGATAATCAAACACAGCTTGAGGAGACCTTGGTAGGGTTTGCTTGTTGGGTTTATTCCAATTAAAAAACCAACTGCTGCTAGTATATAAATTTATGGTCTTGGATTTGTCGGTGGCTAAAGAAGTCGATTTCCTTGGTGTGTTTTTGTTAGTGATTGAATATGCATAACCAGAGTGTGATTTGAGAGGAAAAGATGAATTGCACCTGAAGAATTGGAGAGGAGTGCCATGGAATTTGGAGAAGGAGCTTTGAAAAGAATCAATGTATAATTGGCAACTAGGGACTAAAGCCATTATTATTATTGGGGTACATAGATTAGATTGTGCAAGGAAGTGTAGAGGCAAGTGAGCTAAATTATAAACCCAGTTGAAGCGATTGTAAGATTTTTGCGGGGTTTAAAGTCCACAGGCTGCAAATGCTGCCTGCCTGTCTTCGATTCTTATGTTATCTATCCATGGCGGGTTAATAATATCTCAGGTCAGTTTGGTTGCATGAGAATTGATACTCCAAATCCGTCTAGGAGTTTCGCGATACCAGCTACGGAATTCCTCATCCGTATCAATTTTTTTTTTTTTAATTGCTTTCGAAAGTGGAACTCGAACTCAACATTTTATTATTTAATAATTATAATCAAAATTTACTTGATATGACAACATATCAGTGTGATTGTTTTTCTTATTTTAAAGATTAAAAGTTATTGTTCTTAATTATTGGAAAGGCTATATTTTTTAGATTGATAAAGAAATTATTATTATTAAAATAATTAGCATTTAATTTTCGATTAAAAACTTCTAAGTTTTTTTTTTAATTTTTTATTATTTTTTCTTTGATTTTCATTTTTAAATTTGTTTTGATTTTCATTTTTATTAGAATGAAAGTCATAATGTAATAACTCATTCTAAAAATAAGATTAAGTTTGTAATGTATATATTTTTTGAATTAAGGAAAAATGAGGCAATTGAAGTATTTTAGAATTTATTAAATCATAGCAATGGATACTATGAAGGTCTAAGGGAAGTGTAGAAATGAGTTTGAAAGCAAATAAAATAAAATAAATAAATACATAGAAATGGGCAAGCTCATTTTAAAAAAACAAGATAAACCCTTTTGTTTCTCATTCCCTCATTTTCTCTCCTTCTCCTCCCTTTTTTTATCCAAAAACTCTCTCTACTTTCTCCCATTTTCCTTCTCCATTTTTAAACTCAAATCTTGCCCAAATACCTTAGAAAATCATGAAAGAAAGATGATTAAAGTGAGGTTTAGCTAGATTGAAGTTTGAGAGTTTTTAAGGAATTGAAGGATTGAAGTTGGGGTTTGAAGACCCATTTGTCAAAGGTGAAATTTTTATCATTTAATCTTAAAATTGAGATGATTATATATGTTTATTGATCATTTTGCAGTTGTTTTATTTTAGGTTTATTGTTTGAATTATAATTGAGTTAAATTAGGGTTGGAAGTTGAATTGAATTTGATAAATTGATGATTTAATAATTAATTACGTTAATTGATACTTGAAATGAGATAATAGTGGTGTGAAATTAATTATTGGACTATAGGTTTAAGAAATTCTCAAGTTGGTTGAGATGATGAATTGAAAAGAAATTTGAAGAAAGTATGGTTTAAGTGATGTTAATTGATTAGATTATGATTAATTATCTTTGTTAATGATTTATGAAGTTAATTTGAAGTTTAATTGAGTTGATTTAATTATATGAATTACTTTAGAATTTAATTGATTGAATTGGGGATTTTTGTATATGTAGGATGTTGTAAAGTTTAAGTTGGATGAAATTTTTAGCATGTGGTTATGGAAGTGTTCTTGTGATGATAAAAACTCTTTTTTTTTTTTTGAAAAGTTGAAGACGATGAATAGTAAAATTTAAATTTATGAAAGGTTGAAGATAATGAATAGTAAAATCTAAAATTTGAGATTTATTAGTTAATTATTGAGTAAATAGTTTAATTATAAGTTTATTGATTGGAGTAGAAGATTTATTATGGATTGTTGAGTGTCGGTGTAAGTGTCTAAGATCTAACATATTTAGATGGTTTGATTTATTGCATTTTAAGTATTAATGAAGAAATCTTTCTATTAATCTTTGTTATTTATAATTTGATAGAATTAAATAGAAGTTCATATGATATGCATTGTATTAATGATTAATCTATGGATGTGAGACAAACATCAATACACATTAATGATATCAATATTCCAAGTCATAACATTGTCAAGATCGAACATTGACTATATACGGTAAGACTTATGAATATTGTGCTCATGCTATAAGATAGCGAGTAGGAGATTTCACACCTATCGACATAGTGATGCCAAAGTAAGCACTCGGGTGAATAATGTTAGAAAACCTATAACTGGAGTGACTTGCCATGAAAACCCATTTGGTATTGTCTATGGGAATCTCATACGAGATAGGTATAAGTAGTCATTTGACTTGAAGTCATTAAAGGATTGATGTACTTTGATATTTGTTTTGATAGGCTTAGTAAATAGCTACACGCGACGTTGGTGCACTATGAATCTAATAGAGATAGATGAATGGTTAAGATAGGATAAATCATTCCTTATATGCTAAATAAGTTATCACATTGCATTTTGATAAATGTACGCTTTAGAATATGTGGCAAAGTGAAAGTATACAAATAGAGCATAGTTGGTTTACTTGAGAGCTAAGACATTTGAAGATTGAATAAGTTAGCTCTCAAGTAAACTTATGTGATCATAATTGAATAGACTATAAACTAAGTTCGATTTCATATCGTGATAAATTGACACAATGATTGAATTGTATGAAAACCATGCTCATGAAAGGTAATTGCGGATTAATTAATTTTTTTAGAGAATTGGGTAGTCATGATGTCTTACTAGAGGCCAATCTTAATTTATGCATTAAGAGATAAAAATGGTATCTTTTATCTTTTTGATATATTGTCAACATATCTAATAACCTATTGAGTCACATGCATAAGTTTAAACATTTACATGAAAAAAGAGAAATGAAGGTTTTGAAAAAAGTTTCCTATCTTATTCCGGAAATTAATTTCCTAATTTGGAAATCGGTTTCTTAATTTAAGTTTAAGGGTAACTTGAGAAATTATTTTCTAATATGGACATCTCTAAAAATATCCGACCCAGTTTATTTGGATGGTTCAAATTAATTGGTGAATAATTAGTTCAAAAAATTTAGGCCAATAGGCTTAAGTTGGAGCACTGTAAGATATTTTTTATGGATAAATAATCTTGAGCACTAAAGGACAAGGCTTAGGCTTTATGAGGATAAAGTCAAATTAAGCCCACGAAGTTACAACTCCTTTTTAAGAAAAGAGTTGCTTGCCATATATATATATATATAAGGGGGAGAGACGCATAAGTGCATAATAATAATTTATCTAAGAGTTAAAAATATTATAAGCATCTCTCTCCTAAAAAATTAACAAACTCGCAACCCCTCTCTTAGAAAATATAGTGCGCTAACCATAAAAGTTTTTTGAGAGAAAATTAAGTAGAAAAGGTTAGAGCTAGCAATCTATGATTTTTGTCGTTTCTTGCATGGGTGTTTAAAGCTGCGTGGATCATCGGTAAAGATCGGATGTTTGGATGGTTCTCTTAACAAATTGAATTCTACGTTACAAAAGATAACTTCTAATCATCTTATTACTAATATAGTTAGTTGATTCAATGATTGATCTTGAAAACTTTAGATAAAGAAAAATAAAATTTTTTGTTTATTTCACACCTCTATAGGATGCATGATTTTTCAATTGGTAGCGAGTCCCCATTGAATTTTTAATTATATTGATGTAAATTTTGATTAATTGTAATAAGTGTTGATTTTGATTTATAAATATGTTAATTTTGATATTTTATAATCATTTAAAAATCTAATTTTGGGTTGTGAAAGGGAGTGTGTGAGGCCAAAGTTGGGTGTTAGCCACGATGCATGCCATGCCGGATGTGTCTCTCGTTCGTCGAGCTATTGGAACACCAAGCACACACGAGCGCACCGGGCAAATGGTCGGGCCGGATGTGCATTAGAGTGCTAAGACACTAAGAGGCCAAGCACCCACTAGGCCATTGCTAAACCGGTACCTCGCCGGGCGTACGAAGACCCGCGCTAGGCTAAAGGGCATTAGGTTAGTGTTAGGCACCGGCCAATGGGTGCCATTCCGAGTCTTGGGCATTAGCCATGCATGTATGAGCACGCCGGGCCAATGGTTAGGCTAGGCGTGCATTAAAGAATAAGATATTGTTGTCTTTTATTCTTTTAATACATTGCTAGTATATTTAGAAGCCTATTGAGTCATGTACATAAATTTAAACATTTACACAAAAAAGATAAGCGAAGGTTTGGGAAAAAGTTTTTTATTTTAAAAATTAGTTTTCTATTTTAGAAATCGGTTTCCAATTTTGAAAGTTAGTTACCTAAAATGAAAATTAGTTTCCTAATTTAGGTTTAAGGATAACTTGAAAATTATTTCCTAATATGGGCCTCCCTAAAATATCCGACTCAATTTATTTGAATGGTCCAAATTAATAGGTGTACAATTAAACCAAAGAAGTTTGGGCCAATAGGCTTAAGTTGAAGCTCGTAAGATATTTTTGGTGGATGGATAATCTTGAGCACTAAAGGATAAGGCTTAGGCTTTATGAGGATAAGGTCAAATTTATCCCATACAAGTCATAACTCCATTTTAAGAAAGGAGTTGCTTGTATATATATATATATATATATATATATATATATATATATATATATCTAAGGAGCGAGAGATGTATAAGTGCATAATAACAATTAATCTAAGAGTTAGAAATATTGTTAGCGTCTCTTTCCTAAAAAATTAACAAACCCACAACCCCTTTTTTAGAAAATATAGTGCACCAATCTAAAAAGATTTTTAAGAGAAAATTAAACATAACAAAAAATAAATAAATTAGAGCTAGCACTCTATGATTTTTGTTACTTCTTGTGTGAATGTTTAAACTACGTGGATCATCGGTAGCGATCGAACACTTGGACGGTTCTTTTTATAAATTGAATTCGCACTACAAGAGGTAACTTCTAATTATCGTGTTACTAATATAGTTAGTTGATTCAACGAGTTAATGTTGAGAACTTTGGATGGAGGAAAATAAAATTTTTTGTTTATTCTACACCTCTATATGTTGCATGATTCTTCATAGAGATTAGTTATGTGAAAATTGAATTAGAAATTAGTGATGGATTGTATAGATAAGTTATATGAAATTTGATTTAGGAATTGATGATGGATAATTAGTT